CTGTACTCCCGAAGAGGCGGGGGGGGCTCCAGAGAAGACCCTGCCGCACTTGCCCGCCGCCAATCAGATCGTCCTCGCGCTGCGGTGGGGGAGGCGACCTCGCCACCACCACGATCGCACCACCCACGAAGGAGGCAGAGCACTGGTGGGGCTCTGGCGTCCCAATCTCTGGGCTGTCTCGGGCCCTCGTGGGCGCAATCCGTGGTCCGCTCGGGGGCTACTGCTAACCAGCCTCGAACTCTCCCTACCCCTAAGCTCGACCAACACGCGGCGATGACAATGTTAGGCTGAAAGAATCCTTGAGATGGGCACCGGGACAACGAGATGCCAATCGTGTGGGGACGGATCTGCTTCAGGCTGGCATCTTGTGGTCACATTGGGCCTGTTTTATAACCTCCTTTGGCCAGCTCGGAACGCTCGTGGTCCGTCTTGTGAGGCCTTGGGGCCCTCTGAAGCCGTCCTGAGCTTCTCTGGAAGTCCTCTGGAGCTCAATTGGTGGCAATACTGGCTCCCTTTTGATCCCCATTGGGTTCTGGTGATGCCCTCTTGGAACAATACGATGTCGAAAAGTGCGGGCGCAGCCCAAACACGCACAAACACACACACACACGCACACACACACACACACACACACGCACTCACACATAACCCAGATACACATACACACATACACAGAAACAGACACACAATCACACAGCACTAATACTCATAAATGCTCCATCTGCTTTGATGCGTGCGATTTGGGGTTCTTCTGGGGCCCTCTTGCGGTCTCTTTTAGAAGTGGGGGGCCTTGGCTATTTTGGAATTGTGAGTGAAACCATCCTGTGCCATATGTGACGGCACTGAATCGGATCGGGCGAAAGGGGGGGATAGCAAAGGGGGGGTTTGAGAATCAGCTCACGTAGCTGATTTTCCCGGCGCCTCCCGGCGCCGGAGGCGGCTATGTATCGAGGAATGGGCCCCTCGATGAGGCCGAAACCAGCTGCATGCAGCAAATTTCGTACCCACCCCTTGCCCAATCCCCCCCCTTCGTCCGGCCCGACTGAAGCCATAGTTGAGGCTATGTGCGCCTCCTGTGGGAGTCCAGGACGAAGCCCAGGGAATGGCATGGGCACTTGTGTCTTCTCGGCTGGGTACCCCTGGCGAGGGGCGACGGGTGCACCATCATTTCGGCGGCTTCTCGAGAACAAGATTCGACGGTACACGTATATATATATATGTATAGAGAGAGAGAGAGAGACAGAGACACACAAATACATCGGTAGTGCGAACCAGCGTAAACACCAAACCCTTATTTCTAGCACTCGAAGGGATGCAGTCTGTGTGGTGCAAGCTCTGTGGTGCAGGGCGCGAGGTGGACATTATGTGGTGCAGTATCCGTGGCACGCGCTAGGTTGTGCAGGCCACGTGGTGCATGTTACGTGGTGCAATATATGCGGCGAACGCTGTATGGCGTACACTACGTGGAGCAAACTCAGTGGTACAACTCATTGCCCTGCTTCGCGCGCGGCCATCCCCAACGCCCGTGCAATCAATCCACCAACCCATCCGCAGCCTGGTTGCACAGCCCATGCGGCAGCGCTGGCTGGCGCATCGGTGAGGCCCCGTTGGCGCCCACAAGTCCGCGCGCAGAGCGGACCGGCGGGCTGGCACAACCGACGCGGCCGTGGTGGCACTGATCGATGGGGATTCCCAACCGCGCCCCGCAGGCCGCGACGAAGCGCTGCCACTTCAGCGCGAAACGGCGATTCCATGTCTGGGGCGGGCGCTGTATCATGGCGACGTCGGCAACGGTAGGCACGATGATGATAGTGGCAATGCTGGCGACGATGGTTGCAATGACTACGGCAATGACAATGACATCGTCGATGCTGATCACGCCGATGGCGATGATGGTGTTCACGTGTTGGTGATGACGTTTTGGAAAGGTTTCGATATGTGCGCTCGGCCGACATGCGAGGGTGGCCCGCATGACGTTATTTGGCAGCGACCGTCCCCCCCCCCAAGCACGCGCGCAAGGACGTTCAAATGAATCCGACATGCGCGCGCAAGAGGCAGGGTTGGTAGCACTTGACGTGAATGCTGACAACAGGTTCGGCTGTCTTCAGAATTCGCAAGAGATCGCGCGCGTTTTTTTGTTTATCAATCGTGCTGCAAAACTAGAGCCCTCGCGGAAACACGTGAAATTGAAAACTTCTGGCATGCGCGCGTGAGAACGCGCGCCCGCGTAAACCTCGCCGTGTTTGTCATGCGGCTTGAACTGACTATGCGAGATAGGCGAATGCGTGCGCATGATTTTTGTTTGCGAACTGTGATTGGCGGCCGTCGATGCGAGCCTGGCTGGGAAGGCACGCGTTCATATTTGAAACAAACGATGGGGCAAATTCCTATGAAATTGCAAAGCGCGAGGCCACACGGATAATCTGTGGGGGGGGAGACCCGGGTTCTCTACTTGAAAGGAGGCTCTATGTAGTGTGTACAATGTGACGCGAAGTGTGGTGGCGCAGTAGATGCAGTGCACGCTACGTTCGGCAACTCACGTCTCACGTGGCGCAGGCGATGCCGTGCAACAAAGTTTGAAAAGCTTGGAATTGTCAACTCTACTGCTCGCGCAGTCATCCCATCCACCCGCCCGCAAGTTGGCGTGCAAAACCCACGCGGCGGCGACTGCGATGAGTGCTTTTGGTGTTGGCTGGTGCAAATCCGCGGCCGCGCTGGCCCGAGCGTGCTCGCGGGCGCAGCGGCCAGCTAGTTCGGCGCGAACGACGCGGCTGCGGTAATGCAGGCCGCCGAGCATTCCCTCTGGGCATTCCTCTGCGAATCGGTGACTTGGGATTCCCGCGCGAAACCATCTCGTCGTCCTGACTCTGATCATCACATCCCTCCTCCTCCTCACGAGGAGTGGGGGGAGTGAGAGGATGAGGATGAGGATGAGGATGAGCATGAGGAGAAAGAGAAGGAGGGGGAGATGGAAAGCCAACAAAACCAACAGAAACCAACAACAGACATGTATAAACTTACGTGACGGCGGCAAATACTGTAGCCGAATGCCGCCGATGATAAAGTACCCCCCCCCTTAAGTCGTTAGAGTTTTCTATCGTCGGCCTAGAAGGGTTTCAAATATAGGCGGAGGGCGCGGAGGCCGAACTTCAGTATCACTGGGAAAGTTCGCCATCGAGGTTACTTCCTTCTTATGTTGAGATAACAACATCAAGCGACCGAGGTTATACTCTCTCTCTCTTTCTCTCTTTTTCTTTGTGTTGCTTTCTGTTGCTCTCTCTCTCTCTGTGTCTCTCGCTCTCTCTCTGTCGTTCTTTCTCCTCCTCCCTCTGGCGCCCTGAACTTGTTTATCGCTGGGGTTGGTTATCCTGGGAAAACTAGGCACATGAGCTACCCTACACGAGCAGATGAAAATCTTAATTTTCATTAAGCGTTTACAAATTAAACCTAATAAGTTTTCAACTTTGGATTCCCTCCTGCTCTGCTTCTCCTGCTCTCCTGCTCTTCCTCCTCTCGGGCATGCCCCTAGGGCTTACCCCTAGGCCTACCCCTAGGGCCTACCCCTAGGCCTACCCTAGGCCTACACGCCTAGGCCCATCCCTAGGCCTACCCTAGGCCTACCCTGAGATGTGTCGAGGATGCCTCAAGCGAAACAAGCAATGATTTCAAGGATGTCTCAAGCGAAATAAGCAATAATTTGAAGATGTCTCAAGCGAAGCAGACAAACATTTCGAGGATGTCTCAAGCGAAACAAGCAATTCGTTGAGGATGTCTCAACCGAGACAAATCATTGTTGAGGATGCCTCATAGAGGACCAAAGACCAAGGATCCTCAAGATATCTTTGGCTGTTTCCTCTTGATATATCTGTATGCTGGCTCTGGCGGGCAACTGTTATTATCTCCCCGAAAACCCCGAACTGTATTATCCCTGTGTGTTTATTATCCGCTGTATTCGGTTATAACAACCGTTGAACAAACAAAGACCCACACGTTATTATGGATGTTCCTTCGGACGTGTTCCTTCGGACAGATCTCCCTCGTTTCTTTTGTTTGCTTCGTGCTCATTTCTCCAACTGGTGTTCCTGAATTGTTCTACCTCAAGCGCTTCAGTTTCTTTGCTTGTGTTGGTTTTCCTCTGGTTCGGCTGTTTTTCCAACGCCATCCTCCATCTCCTCCTCCTCCTCCTCCTCCACCTCCTCACTCCTCCTCCTCCTCGTCCTCCTCCTTCTCCCCCTCCTGCTCGTCCTTGTCATCCTCCTCCTCCTCCTCCTCCTCCTCCTCCTCCTCCTCCTCCTCCTCCTCCTCCTCTCATTCCTCTCACCCCCCGTAACCGATCTGTGGCCCGTGGCCCGTGGCCCGGCGACCGTCGTCAGCTGCACGTTCCCCCAGAGAGGCCCCTGGCAACTGGCGGGAGATGCCGCCGCCGAGGGCCAGGGAAGCACATGACCATGCAATCCCCCAAAGTGTAGAATAAACACCCACAACTGTTTAATACAAAACTGCCGCGCACGAAATTGCCCGGGACCTTGCTCAAATCGAGCCATCGCGCACGTGCAATGGAGCAATGTCATGAACGCAGAAACGCGTTTACAAAACACGCAAACACTGTTTAGCAAAAGCGAAAACGGCTTAAAACGGCTTCACCAAACGATCTGTGAAACCGGAAACGTCGCGATTCGCAATCGTCGCCGCGGGGGCGCGCCGACTGAGTCCGAAAGCGTTCCGGAAACAACTGTAAACATCAGGCTGGCGGGTGTGGGAGTGGGTTGTTAGATGCTCATTCTGGGTACCTTTCTGGAGCCAATCGCTCCGCTCGTGCGTCGAAGCTGCGTCGAATGTTCGTCGACTCGAGTCGAACCTGAGTCGAACTGGAGATGAACCTGAGTCGACCTTGAGCCGAACTGGAGTCAAACTGGAGTCGATAGGTCGATAGGTGTGTCCTAGGAAGGTCCCCAAAACGAGCATCGAAAGGTTGTCCTCTCTCGGCGCAGGGCGCCGCGTGCCCCTGGCTGCATGGGGGGAGCCGCAGGGGGGGGGAGCCTGCATTGATGCACGATGGCGTCCGAGGGGAGAGATTCTCTTTACAGGGGCCAGGGGCAGATCGGGTTGCAAGCGCGAGGGGTGCGGAGCTGACCGACGGCAACTGCGGCCGTGGAGGCCGCCGCCTGCGTGCACCCGGATGAGCAACCCATGCCCTCACGTCGTGCTAATCCAAACTTGCCCTCCCAGATGAACCAGAACCCGCCAGCGCATCTTCGCTGCCACCGCCGAATCCTCCCAGCAAGGAAACCTGATGCTTGCATCCAGGCTCTGGGGCCGATTCCAACTCGTGGTCGTCCTCACCGAGTAAGCCTCCGATGGCCAATCCAGTGCGGCCGAGATGCTTGGTGAAGAAGTTCAAGTACTCGGTGCCATCGTTGGTGCGTCCATGGATTACTTTCAGGGATATCTCTCCGAAGCTCATCCAGCTGGATTCCACCTCATCGGGAAGAAAACATGCGATGCACGTGCTCCGCCCCCCTCTCCTCCCCGTCCCCTCTAAACAACCCTCTTCCCTAGGGGGGGGGGGGGCGAGCAACCGATAGCAAATGAGCCTCATTTCACCGATCCACATCTCAACTGACATGGCCTGGCCCCCCTTGTCGATGTACCCTCCTGAGATGGGATACTCCCTTCGGGTTTCGAGGGGCCTGTCCCCAACTGGGGGGGGGGTCGGATAGTGGCAGCGATACCATGGCCTGGTGGACATGGGGGTCACCGTTCGGAAGGGGTTCTGGGACGCACAGATCAGTAGACACAGATAACAGGATTCCCTACATTTCCCCATATGTTCTGGGTGCTTGTCTTCCCCCCCACCTCCCACATGTTCCCATATTTTTTGGGGGAAATCGACGATGAAATTGTGTGTGTGTGCGTGTGCGTGTGCGTGTGCGTGTGTGTGTGCGTGTGCGTGTGCGTGTGCGTGTGCGTGTGCGTGTGCGTGTGCGTGTGTGTGTGCGTGTGCGTGTGCGTGTGCGTGTGTGTGTGTGTGTGTGTGTGTGTGTGTGTGTGTGTGTGTGTGTGTGTGTGTGTGTATGTGTGTGTGTGTGTGTGTGTGTGTGTGTGTGTGTGTGTGTGTGTGTGTGTGTGTGTGTGTGTGTGTGTGTGTGTGTGTGTGTGTGTGTGTGTGTGTGTGTGTGTGTGTGTGTGTGTGTGTGTGTGTGTGTGTGTGTGTGTGTGTGTGTGTGTGTGTGTGTGGTGTGTGTGTGTGTGTGTGTGTGTGTGTGTGTGTGTGTGTGTGTGTGTGTGTGTGTGTGTGTGTGTGTGTGTGTGTGTGTGTGTGTGTGTGTGTGTGTGTGTGTGTGTTCTCCCTCCTGACACGCACGATCCGGAGCCGCCCGGCCTGCCGCTCCGCAGCGCCCACACCCCGGGCAGCAGGGGCAGACAGGAGGCATCGGCCCAGCGTGGCTCCCGGAGCCCCGGTCAGCCAGAGGGCCTCCTCCTCCTCCTCCTCCTCCTCCTCCTTGCTCCGCGCTCCCCCACCTCGCTCCTCCCCTCCTCCTCCTCCTCCTCCTCCTCCTCCTCCTCCTCCTCGATGACGCCGACTCTCCGACGTGAGCACCGATCCTTTCGGGGGGGTGAGCAGTGGGCAGCCAGGCAGCTTCGGGCCCCAAGACCTCGCCGCCAGCCTCGATCGCGAAGCGGAAGCCGCCGGGCCGCTTCGCCTGATGGGTAACGATAGGGGGGGGCCTTGCTCAGGAGAGGGAAATATCGAGCGGGAATCGGCGATGCATCGCCGTTAGCTCAGCGATAGGCCCCCGGGTGCAACTCCGCACGGTCCTGGGCGGGGAGGGGCTATTTGGGCCCCATCGGCGATCGATGGGCGATTCGAGGTCGATGCATCCCCCCTCTCCTGAGCCTCTCCCCACCTAACTTGGCGGCGCACGCAAGAAGGTATTAGGAGGAGGGGAAAGGCTTCTCAGAAGGAGGCTGCTTCTTAGCAGGCGCCGCCCTTACATCTACAGAGCAGGCCCGCGCCTACTCATAAGAAGCAGGGGTGTTTCTTAATTAGGTGCCTTCCCTCCCATCCCTGCCCCCCTCTGCGCGCGGCCGCCCCTGGCAGGTCGACACATCGAGTCGGCGATCGGAAAAAGAGTCGGGAAAAGTCGAATCGGCGGAAATCGGCAACCCAGTACACCCTGCGAAATGCTTAAGAAATCATGGGTTAAGAAATTCGCAGTCTCAGAAATTGGATTAAACCCAGAACTTCTATCAAAATCTTGGGATTTACATTGAGAAGTTAAGAATAATCGAGACTCTGGACGAAAACTTAGGTTTTCTTAAGCATAACCTCTGGTCGAAATGAGCCCTCCCCTGGTCGCCTCCGCCCACGACCCCCAGAGTTCTCGACCCCTTCCCAGGGACCCGTTCCTCGTCCTGAGATGCTTTTGACCGCCCCGAGGCCCGGTGAGGGCCCCCGGAGGCCGAAAGCTGGGAGAACCCCACCGTCGTGACTGTTTCGCTACACCCGAGGAGGTCTGGGCCGGTCGCCTCCGCCCACGACCCCGTGATGTTCAGCTCGCGGAAGTACATGTCCGTGCAGCGGTGGCCGATACGCTTGGCCCTGGCCGCGACCCGCAGCAGGGTGCCCCGCGCGCTCGCGCCCCGCGGGATGTGGAGCAGCGTGTGCCTGCCTGGGAGCATCAGGTCGAACGACTGCCCGTGGATGTTCTGCAGGCGCGGGTCACCTACAGTGAAAACGTATTTCAAGG